GAAGTTCAGCCAGGCCTACAATAGGGACTTGACAGTAAAATGACCACAGATAATGGCATTCTAGAAGGAGAAGAACTGCATTCACAAAGGTAGAATTGATTTGAAGGTTAAACTTAGTCTATGGTTTGTGAGACAGGTGCAGTGGTAAACCATGAGGTTCAGAGGAGGCAGCTCCAGTTAGGAAAAGACAGTCCTGTCTGCAGTGCCTGGCACAGAAAGTTGACCAGCCATTCAGCAGGCACCAGGGAGCCGTGGAGCACGGTATTCTAACTGCACTGTGAGGACTCTGGGGGTTTCCAAACTCTTTCACTAGACATTAGCATTTGGCTGTTAACAACCATTGGTAAAAAACAAAGTAGGTCACTGAGTAGAGCTCAATAATGTTCCATTTTTGGAGATTTTAATTTTTAATGGTATTTATTTTATTAAATTTGACCAGCGATAGTGAGCTAATGTTTCAGATCATTTTTACTTATACAAAAATCGTAACTCTTCAGGTGAGGCCAGGTGGAATTCCAGCTGACAATTACCCCAGGATGGCAGACCACGTATTTTACAGAGGGAGACGCTAGCTCTGCTCATCCTCCACTGAAGAGAAAATCAGAAAATGAAGAACAGAACTGTAGTAAGAGCAGAAAACTTAGACTGGACTTAAGTAAGCCTCCAGATTTGTAAAGCAACAGAAGAAGAAGGTTGTGAAGTGATTCTCACCAAAGACCCTTAAGAGTCCTTTGTAAGAATAAGTTATGGAAATCTCAAGGTCCCAACTGACAGAGATTCTCAGGCTCAGTGCAAAAAGATGGTTACTCAATTTTCTTCACATTTACTTAAAATACATTAATTGATAAAACCAAATCTATTGCTGTTGACTCGATTATGACTCATGGTGACCCTACCGGACAGAGTAGAACTGCCCCAAAGGGTTTTCAAGGCTGTAAATCCTTATGGGAGCAGACTGCCACATATTTCTCCCTTTCAGTTAGCAGTCAAGAGCTTAACCACTGCACCACCAGAGCTTCT